TGCTGGTATACAGATTGCAGATCTCCAGCAACTGCAGCAACTTACACAGCAACTAACTCAGCAACAACAGCAACTTCAGTTGCAACAGGTAGTGGAACTTGATCAATGAAGTTAATGAAATTTTATATAATATGAATCATTTATTTACATTATCACTGAAAATGAAGTAAATATACCGTATAAGCAGAATTTTTAGCGAGGATTTAATCTTGGCATTATTAGTGAGGGTGCTGAAATCGCTAAAATTTCATATCGCTTAAAATTAATTGAATTGTATTTGAAATAGTTTCTTTAGTGAACATTTCAAAATTGCTAAAATTGCATCTCGCTAAAATTAAAACGCGAATTTTTAAAGACAAATCGCTAAATTTTCGTCTTGCTAGAATTTCCACTTATACGGTATGTGGTATTTAGGAATCTCCACTTGAAATCATGTTTATTGCCTTAATTGTGTTAGGTAATATTGTAAATTTCAACTAAGAATTTTCTGCAAAATTTGCATTATTTTGACCATGTTGCCTATCATACAATTTTCAGCAGATTCAACAACAAGTTACCAATTCACCAGCAGTTAGTTCTGCTGCTAGCACCACCTCTGTAGTCTCTCAACAGGCCCCCATCAGTAGTGCCACCCCTCAGTCCACACAGATCCAGGCCTCGCCCCTAGCCACAACCACTCTACAGGGGCTGGCGGGGGCCCTCCAGGGCACACAGCAGATTGTATTCCTGAACCCTGCACAGCTTACCACAGGGCTTCAACCACTGTTGATTCAAAACCAGGTGAGACACAGTTTAATAAAGTACAGCATACATGGTAAAAGAATAATGGAGAAGAGTGCTAAATGAATAGGATAAACTTTTGGTATTGGCATTATCAGAAACTGAAGACAACTGTAAACATAACTTTATATATATTTTATGGGCAGTTTCCTTATTTTCCAAGCGAAAAATGGACTTGGTCGTTATACTTATACGGACTTGGGTAATTTTTGAGTTCAGTGCTCAAAGTACCTAAGTCTATATGATATGATGATTGGGAACTTTGGTGGTCTACAAGTATTTATTACCTCCGTTATATTTGAATGGAAACTCTGGGTGCTCTTTAGTATTACATTTAGTAATTTACTGTACAGTAGTTGAAAATTTAGTGGAAGACATAAATTTGTGGGCAACAACAACAAAAATAAGGCTCAGAGTTAAAAACCTAGAAATTTCAACACTATTAAAGACATCTCAGTGTGGCAATGTCAACAAAACATTGATGTCTGATACACTGTAAGTTCTGAAAATTTATTAATATTTTGTTGGTAGGGAATTCCAGTTCTTACTGCTGCTACATTGGCTTCACTGACACAGCAAGTCCAGCAACAGCAGCAGCAGCAGCAGCAACAACAACAACAACAAGCCCAGCAACAACCAACAGCAGCTGTTCTGCAACAACTTCAGCAACTCCAGAATGCAACCACACAACCACTTCAGGTAAGAGCAAAGAGAGGTAACTCTGTTCTTGAAACAACCTTTATGTACACTAGCTGCTGATCTGTAGTTCTCCGAAAAAATAATTTGACAGACCGAAGAGCTACAGTGCCACCCATTGAAAAAACTGTATATTTATTGCGCACAAAAAAGTGCGCTGTTTATCGATTTATTTCTCCATGTTTTTAAAACTATAATATCAAAATATTACTTATCATGTATTCCTAACATAATCTTTCACTGTATCTACAACAAAACATACCTTAAAGTTGTTGTTTATAGCCCTCCTGGCCCTGATTTCGAGATCATCGAAAATTTTGTCTGTTTAAACTGCCATTTTGGTTTGTAAGATAATTCGGCCTAACGCGCTTCGTGTAGATGTCAACTACGAAAGTACTTGATAGAAGAGTGCGGAATTTTTTTGAAATCTGATTTTTTTGCAATTGAGGTAAGAATTTGGAAGAATTAATCCATACCTTTTGTGCGCAATAAATATACAATTTTTTCAATGGGTGGCACTGTAGCTATATGTACACATATCCATAGCAAGGAGTAGGTAAAAGAGGATCTATGATACGTACAAAGGTGTAAATCACAAGATTGCTCAGCTCATGTGCGTTGTGATGTGTGAAAACTAGATAACAGTTATATACACGAAAGAGGGTTAACTAAACAGATGAGTCACAATACCTTTCAATCAGTTTTGTCTCATTTTACGACAGAAGGGATATTGTGTAGTGGCATGTTTATAGTTATGAGCTCACAAGAGCTTCAAGCTCATGTAAGCTTTTCTAAACCCCAGTTGCCGTCCATTTGTCTGTAAATTTTTCACATTTTCCACTTCTTTGCAAGAACCACTGGATCTATTATAACTTAGTTGGTGCAAAGCATCCTTGGGTAAACTAAAGTTGTGTTTAGATTATTAAAGTGAAGGACCAAACCCCCTTACAAGGTGAGATAATCAAGAAAAGACTAAAAATAAGATGGGGTCAGTAAAAAAGTTCTTCTTGAGAACCACTGGACCAGTAAAACTTCAATTTTTTTTTTGGAAACTTCCTTAGACGTGTAGATTCTTAACTGCTAAAATCATGATCCCCTGATTAGGATGGGGTCACAATAGGGAATCAAAGTTTTACTGTGAAATACGTAGGAAAAATAAAAATCTTCACAAGAACATGACTGATCTACTGTCCCTACCAAAACCTTTTCCTAACTCTAGATTCCAGTGTGCATATTAATTAATCCTTGATAATGATTTGTTTCTAGATACAGGTCCCTGCTGCCCAATCTACTCCAGTTCAACAAAGTGGAACCCCTGTCAAAGTACAGAACACAATGACCAAGATCTCCAGCTCTTCTCAGATAGTTCTACCAGCTGTGTCCACTACAAATGCTACCATCAAAACTCAGCCTGAAGAAATGAATTCCTCTGTGGATGAGATACCACCAGTAAGTATTCATAAGTTATTTGCAACAACTTTTATTGGGGTAACCTGAAAGGCTACATAATAGAAATTAAAGACAATGAAAAATATAACCCCAAGTTTTAGCTGCCTAGTTTATCTTTGTGAATTGATTCAATCACCTGTATATTGAATTTCAACTTTTTTTTCTATTGAAGGAAGAAAATATTGACTTAGAAGAACTTGAGCAGTTTGCTAAAACCTTTAAGAGGAGGAGAATAGAACTAGGTATATTCCTTATTAAAAGAAATACTCAGATAATTAAGAAAATCTGTAAAATAAGACATATGCAAGTTAAAATTTTTCATACTTTGCAGGTTTCACACAGGGTGATGTGGGCTTAGCTATGGGAAAACTATATGGAAATGATTTCAGCCAGACAACAATATCAAGATTTGAAGCTTTAAATCTGAGCTTTAAAAATATGTGCAAGTTAAAACCCCTGTTACAAAAGTGGTTAAAGGATGCGGACACGATGTGTGCTAATCTGAACACACCAGTGGGAGGGAGCCCAGGTGGCAATGGTAATAGTCTATCTCCCGAATCTGTGTCCAGGAGAAGGAAAAAGAGAACCAGTATAGAAACTAACATTAGAGTGGCCCTGGAAAAAAGCTTTCAACAGAATCCCAAACCATCCTCGGAGGAAATCACTTCTGTTGCAGACACACTAAATATGGAAAAAGAGGTTGTACGAGTGTGGTTTTGTAATAGAAGACAAAAACAGAAGAGGATTAATCCTCCATCAAACTACAATCCTCAGTTGTCTTCCCCTCTTTCTCCACCAATTACACCTGTTCAAGTGATGGCCACGCCCACAAATCAGTTAACCACACCCACCTCTCAAGCCACCATGACGCTTCCAACAATCATCAGTACTTCGACAGGCGCCACTCTTGTGGCTGCATCCACGCCCTCTTCAGTGCCAGGAACCAATCAGAACTTTATCATGGCCAAAATCACACCTGCTTCTACCTCGGGATCCAATCAGGTCATTTTGACACAAGCATTACCAACTACAGTATCTACCGCCCAGGGAATTTCTTTACAACCTACACAACAAATTATTCCCCCTCAGAAAATAGAATTCACAACTTCATAAGGATTCTTAAATTGGAGATGTATTTTTTAGAATATTTGTAAAACATTCCAAAAAATCGAAGAAGCAAAAACCAAATAGAGCTGAAATATATTTTTTATGTATTAAAATACTTTTTAGATTATTTTTACTAGATGAATTTGATGTAAATAATTTATGAAAAAAAATGCCAAAGAACCTGAAATGTGGGCATGTACTTCATGTAAATACATTTATATGTTTTGAATAAGATTTTGTCTTCCAGTTTGTGATTTCACCCACTTAAAAGGGTGTGTAATCTGGTGGACATTATTCAATTCTTTTAGGCAGAGAAATGCATTTTGTATCAAAACTTTGCTAGAACTGTCCTCAAGTTGACTGTTACAAATATATACCATTGATCTCACTATATTACTATTAAGGCATAAAACTACAGAAGTAATTTGTCAGTTAGCTCTCATCTTTCTTATGGCTGACCTTGTTTTGAATGGCATATTATATTTGGTCTAGTTGTTGATCTGATTTAAAATCAAATTGGTACAAATGTAGAACATATGGATTCTATTTTTGTATAAGCCTTCATTTTTGTTAGTTTGTATACTTCCACTTTTCTACAAAAGAAATGAAATTTAAACAAATTCAATTGATGAAAATACTTTTCATTTGAGTTAAAAGATGGCATTTCTTTGATCTGATTTCCTATTTTTGTTATGTAAAATGGAACTGATGACTATAGATTAAATAAACTAGTATACAATCGATAGAGTAGGGTTATCAAATTTCCACTATACACATACAGTCTCCTTAGAGATTTTGGGCCAATCCATATTTTACTCTCCAGCTTGTAAATACCAGGGAAGACAAATAAATGTTGAATTTTACACTTTTCTCCATCACTATGAGTTACACTTCTAACACTATTGTGTTGTACTCAATATAACAATTGCTCTAGTTAGCATCATGGTTGGATTCCATGAAGTGAATGGGAAAGGAGAGTAAAGGGCATAAAAAAAACCCAGCGTACGTGTTCTTGTACGTAACCGGACAACATTATAATTGTCCTTGCAATCAGCACAAATTGATATTGACTTTTGACT